AGGTGATTTCCAGTAAGGCAGGTCCTGGGCACAGCCCCCGGGATAGAAAATGATCACCCTGTACCTTGGGCCATGGCGGTGCCAGTTATGCAGATTTTTGTATTAAATTAGAGGAAAATGAGCAAATAACTGTGACAACAGGCAGGTCACATGTGGCCCAAGTGCTTACGCTCCTTGCTCATCCTTGAGCCCATTTGCAGGAGTTGTACAAATTTATTACCCAAGGACTCGAGAGGTGGGCATGGGGGCTGCAGCAGGGGATTTTGGCCTCTTTCCTCCTTCACGTCATGCTGCTGAGGAAATTTCCCCTTCTTTCCAGGAACTTCTCCCCTCTAGAAATATCACTGTTACTTTCTTAAGAGATGTCACTTTTGCTGGTCAAGAAGTTCCCTGGTATCGGAGGAAACTTCCTCCTTGCTTTCTAGGCATTTTCCTTCTTTGATTTCTAGGCTATTCTTGCTTTTAGGAAGTTCCCCCATTGCTTTCTACACACTTCCACACTATTTCCCCCTTTGCTTTTGAGGAATCACCCTTAGGGCTTCCAAGGAAATTCCTCCATTGTCTTGTAGCAAATTTCCCCTTAATTTCCCAGGATATTTTACTGTAGGATGGTTTCCCTTTGCTTTCCAGAAATTCCCCTATTGGGTTTCAGGAAATTTCCCTTTTGCTGTGTAGGAATACTCCCCCATACGGCTTCAGCAAATTTCCTCATTGCGTTCCAGGAAATTCTACCAGCCAAAACCAACCCCCACCCCTAAAGGCAGTATGGGGCATAAGGCATCTCCCCCAAAACCCCACAAAGCCCAGCCTGGAGCCACGGGAGCCAGGGGCAGGGCAGGAGCAAGGGACAGGGGTGGCAGGGGACAAGGTACAACTGGGAGGGGCCTGGGGGGGTTTGGTAGAGGACCCTGTGCCCGAGGGACCAGGCAGGACACACAAGGAGGTGACTCCAGGGTGGCTCTTGGCCCCTGCCCTGGGGACAAGTGGCAGGGCAGGAAGCAGAGGGGTGTTTCTCCCAGTGTATTTATTTACTTGCATTCCTCACTACTGCAGTGAAGGCTTAGAGGTTTCTCTTAATCGGTGATTAATTAAGTTGACGGGAGTTCTCCCATTATAAACTCTCATGTTCCTGGGCAGCAGCACTCTGCCTGCCTGGGGGGCTCCTGGGGGGCCACAGTCCCTACCTCCTGTCCCCCCCCCAGGTCCTCCCACCTCGAGGACGCAGCCAAGCAGGTAAAAACCAGCCACGTTCAGGGCACCAGATCCAATGTGGTGAAAGAAGAACTAGAGACTGGGGAAGGAAGAGTCAGTTTTACAAAGAGGTTTTAAAAGCATCCCAAAGGACAAGGAGAGCTTGCCCTGAACCCCAGCCCTTCGCTGCACCAAGTTTTTCTTGAAGCATAACCCCACAACACAAACCTGCACCTCCACTCCCCCTGAGGCCACGAGTCACCCAGCTTCAAGGGACAGTCCTTGCAGGCAGGAGGGGAAGCAGGAACCCCACTACTTTTATCAGCAAGGTCTCTTTTGGGGACCCTCCTTGTAAATCACAAAGCAGCAAGGAATAGGGCACCTTTAATAAAAAAAAAAAAAAAAAAAAGCATCCTTCTCTTTTAATCCACTTAAGGGAAATCCCGAGCAAGAGCAGCATCACAGCACTTCACACAGCACAGACGTCTATCATCGTCTTTGCACAGATTCCTTCCCAGATACATGGAGAAGTCATTAAGAAAAAACGAAAAGAAAATTATCCACATCTGCAAGTGACATGTAACAAATGAGCCACAGAACAACCTTTTCAAAAAGGACTCATCAAGGAACAAGGCCACCAACACACAGGTTTTGCAAAAACCTAGCCCAAGGACATTGGAACAGAGGTGGTTTTCTTTTAAACATTAAAAACGGATTTTTAAAAAAAATAATTTAAATACACATTTGAAACACAAACACCAAGCAAGCGCCTGGAGAACAAAGCGAAACGAAGGAGGAATGAAAAGTGAATTCAACCAGTTTAATTTAAACACCAACGTGTGGTGGATTGCACTGAATGGAATAAATAATGGAGAACATCACGCTGGGTTGGTAGATCTCACACTTAAGATCATTTAAACTAGAATTAACTACACAGCCCAAGAGCGCTGAACAAGGACGTCCTCTGACGGTGGCAGCTGGGGCAGTGTCCCTTCAGCAGAGCGCGTTGTGGGTGTGGATTTGTCCCGAGACCCACCAACAATCCCCACCCCGGGCAGCGAGCAGGATGCCAAGGTGTTGCGATGCAGAGGACGTGATCCCGCAGTCACCTACACGCAAACAGCTCCTTGCCCGGGGTGCGGCCATCCTGCGCCTCTGACACCTGCTGCCTCTAAACACACCCAAGTGACATCAAAGCGCAGCCAGACCTCGTGTCTTCACCTTGCAGGGTGAGCACGCAGGCGTGGTGGTGCCAGCACAGCTCCCCAGGGCTGGGCACCGCAGAGGTGGAGCAGGTGCCTCCCCTTCATCTGAAGCCAGGCTGGGGAAAAAAAGAGCTAATCTACACCTGCAGCCACCACTTTATCACCCCAGGAGGTGGGCAGGCTGAAGGAATGTGAGTGGTTTCTTATCCTTTTGTTTTTCCTCCCCACAACCCCTGCATTTAAAAAACAAAAAACAAAAACAAACTGAACAAAAATAACTTGATCCCAAGTTCATCTCCCTTTCCTGCCTGTAGCCAAACAGTGAAGCACCTTCGGACAATCGTGTGATCCTCTCTGCACCTCCCCTGGATGTGCCTGGGACACCTGGTTAGGAGGGACATCCCTTTGCTTTCAAACAAAAATAACTACAAAAATCAATAGTAACGATCCCCTTTCCCTTCCTCCAATCTCCAAGCAGTTCATCTGAGGCCAACTGGTTTTTGAGAAAGGGAGAAGGGAAGGGTGAAGGTTTCCAGGCCAAGGAATTTGCCAGATCCAGCATCTCCCCCGCTGTGCCTGCAGCTGCGATGGGATGAGCCCCTTTGTGCAGTGCCTGCTCTCAACCCAGGGCCAGCAGAGCCAAGGGGGGCCTGAGGGGACACAGCTGTCCCTCCAGCTCCTCCTCAGATAGCTGGCAACTCCCAGAGGAAAGAGGGGGACTGGGGTGGATGAGGGTTCAGGTTATTTCTTTCCCATCCCTCTTCCTCCCCAAGGCTGAGAGGAGACTCCTGGGTCTGCAAGCCCAGTCTGTCCTTAAGAACGACAATTTAAAAACAAAACAAACAAAACCAAAAGAAAAATATGCATAATTAGGTATTGTCCGTGGAAGGAGCAGAAGTGGGCAGGATCCAGAGCAAGACAGCAAAGCGACTCTCTCCCTCCCCGCGTTTGCTCGGCTGGAGACCACATCCCCTCGGCATCCCAACGCGAACACTTTGTGCTGTTGCTCTGACATCAGTCGACACGGATGACGAACACGGGGATGAACTCGGCACTGCAGAGGGCGGGAGGGCACACGCAGGCATGCCGGGGCTAGTCCCGGTGCTTGGGGAGCATGTCCAGCAGGAACTCGGCGATGCCGATGAAGTAGACGACTTGTGCGATGCCGAAGAGAGGAGCGATGACCAGGGCGCGGCAGTATGCCCCTTTCAGGAAGGCCATGGGCCCTTCCTTCTGCCAGATCTTCCTGGGGAGAAACAGCAGACAGGTCAAGGTCCACCCCACCCCTCCACCACACCAGGAGAGCCTCTGGCCATGCCCTGCCTGTCTGCCTCCCTCCAGAGACCCAGCCCAGGCAAGGGTCGCCCAGCACTGCCGCCACAGCCCATCATCCGCCATCCCCACGTGCTCTGCAAACAGCCATGCAGAAACACGCCCCATCCCTGCAGCTGGCCAGGGGCAGGAGCATCTGCCAGGGGCTGGATGGACAACCAGACTTGCATCAAGAGGTCGCCTTGTTCAAAAACTGGGGCCAACTCCCCGCCCAGGATGGGCCACAGCCAGATGGCAAGAGACTCTGGCTACAACAGCCATACAGAGGCAGAGCACTTGCGTCTCAAAACTCCCTGTGTGTTTTGAAGCAGCCAGACTGCGGTTTAGCAAAGGGTCAGAGGAGTCTGGGAAGAGATACGAGACATAATGATGTAAGATTTTCAGACAACAAGGCCTTGGGAGAGACAACCACAGCACCGCCTCCCTTTGCAGTGATGACTGCTGGGGTTTGGACAGAAGCATTTCAATATCAACACTCTATTTACCTTGCTCAAAGCAAGAAGTAGTTCTCTTTTATATAGCTATCTATATGAACAGTATATATCTGGCCATACATCTATCCATATAGACAAACAGATAAAAAGCACAGGTTCAGAGGGAATCTGAAAGAGGGAAGCTGCTTGTTGGATCTAGAAGCTGCACCAACTGCCTGGCAGCAGCAGATGCCATACACTGCTTCATGAGGGGTCTTACTTGGTGCAGTCCAGGATTCCCGAGTAGGTGTCCTCGTTCACTCCTCTCTGCAAGGACTGCAGCCGCGTTTTGATCACTGGGGAGAAAGAGAGGAGACAGATAATGGTGAGCACAGGGAATGCATCACACTCCTCAGCAGGCAAGAGCCACCCTGAGAGTAATGTCTCTGAAACACAGTCAAACCAAGATCGCAGACCATTTTCATGTATTTATCAGCAAAACAGGGGAAAACAAACACATGGATGAAAGAAAAACACAGCCACCCAAACCCCAGCCCCCTCACTGTGACGAAGGTTTCCAAGGCTGACTTAAGCTTTAAACGCTTCCAAATACAGACATCTTTCAGCAAAGTGGGAACTGATTTTCAAACACTCAGCTCCTTCTAGAAGTAGCTAAGATATACAATGCTGCTCTTATATTTCTTCACACCTTGGAGTGTGTGCAATGTTGTTGTTACTTTCTGGTGTTTTTCACAGTAGAGAAACCGAGGTGGTATTTAAGGCAGATGCTGTGGAGCAGGAGAAAAGGACACAGACTCGAGGCTCCCTGTGGTTGTCCGTGACCATATGCATGTGTATGGTCTGCATACTACCACTCCACACAGAAATGTGCCTTTTCAGGGGCATGTTTGCAGCCATTCCTGCAAGAATGACTGAAATGAATGACACCCTCTTCTGGACTTACCCAGTGAGCACTGCAGACCTCTGGGTAAGCTGTGGCCAAAGGCAGAGCTCAGCTGAAGGGAACACCAGCTAACCTGGGGGCAGCTCAGAGAACAGAGCTCCCTTCCTCTCCCTCCCTGTGCGCTCATGCTGCAAAGAGGCTGGCACGGCCTCCTTCCTCCGCACCTCGCCCGCTCGTGGGCCACTTAGCACTGGGCCACCAGCACAGGCTACCTGGGACTCACCATCGCAGGGATTGACAGCCACCGCGGCCGTACTGCCAGCCACACATCCGGAGAGGAAGGACACATAAAACGGAGCCTTGATGTTGGGATCCTTCTGGCCCAGCTTGTTCAGGTTTGCAAACAGCGGGAAGTACACGATGGAGAACGGGACATCTCTGCAGGGGGGGAGGGAGGAAGGGGAAGAAAGACAAACAAAGGTGAGCAAACTCAGAGTGGGACACCAACAAAGCAAGCATCAAAGAAACAGCTGCAAGCATCATGCAGTGGCAGCCCAGCTCTGGGATTTCAATGCAGACAGGAGCCAAAACTCAGCAGGAGCAAAACTGACTGCATAGAGGACAGCAGGCCCATGGGGGCATGCAGCCCTGCTGAGTCCTGCCTTCCCCTGGTTTTTCAACACTCAAACCAAAGACACCAGCACATTCAGATGTCAATTGTTTTGTCCACTTTTGTTAATTACCAGAGGTTTGCATCCTGCCCCTGTCCCACTGGGTGTGGCTTTAGCTCTGCCTTTGTTAAAGCTGGAGGGCAGTCCCTCTGCAAAAGCCCAGGGTGTTGGAGCAGGCACCGGTCCTTGCACCCAGCATGCTCCATGGGCCAGAACCCATCTCACACTCCAGAGACTCAGGCTGATAGTTTTGCTTTGCCACCCCACGAGGACTTCTCTACAGCGTTAAAAATATAGACCACAGGGGAGACAAACCTCCCACCGAAAGCAGCAGAATTACATCTTCCAGAAACAAAAAGGCAGCCTCCACCACTCCCCTGACCTTCCCTTCGCTAATGTGCAAAACCCATGCATGGAAACCAAACCAAACCCACACCCCCTGAAGCCATCGTCCCCGACGGCAGGTGCCCTGCTCTCCAGCCCACGCCATCCTACCTTAGCAGCGTGGCTCCCAGGCCCTTGTAGAGTCCCGCGATGCCCTTGCTCCGCAGCAGCTCCCGCGTTATCTGTGTCGCTGTGGTGCGCGTCTCCACGGCTGGCTCCACCGCCCCTGCCGCAGAGGAAGGGGAGAGCTGGGCCTGTGCCGCCATCAGCTTCTTCTGTGCCGCTGCGGAGGAGCAGAGAGACCACTGGGCTGCAAGACACTCAACAGCAGCTTCTTGCTGCCCAGTGCCACCGGGCGAGAGGGAAGAGGCAGATCTCCAGGTGCACCAACACACGCAGACTAAGGGCAGCCAGGTGCCTGCAAGCTTTTGCTCCCAGTCTGCCCATCTGACCCAGCCTGACACCATCCAGCTTGTCCCAGCCCCGGAGCTGGCTGCTGCACTCTCCTACAGACTGGTTTTACGCCAGAAAAGGGCCCTCTGCTGCGTGGGGAAAAGCAGCTGCCAGGAGCAGGCAGGTGACAGTATCTGATTCCACCTCCATCCCTCAGCCCCCAACAGGACAAACTGAAGATACTAATATATCAGAGAGCTTCAACAACTTGGCGCTTTGCTTCCTTCCCTTGAGAGCCATCGTTAACCTTTGGGGGTTCCTCAGCTGCACTGGGTATGCCAGATCTATACACATAGCTTTTCCAAACTGCTGCATTTCTGCTCTTTGGCCAGAAGATGGAGAGAGCCACAGCAATCTGTGGGCAACCCTCCCACTGCCACCGAAACACCACCGGTCTCTCGCCCCGCAGAGAACAGGCAGCTCACAGCAGCAAAAACCTCTGCTGAAAAAGACATTTAAAAGTAATACACACAAAGAGGATAAGGTCTGCATTAAAAACAGCAAAGAGAGGAAAGGAAAAGTAAATCCGTGGTTATTCAGGAATAATTATAGGATAAACTTGCCCAGTCATACCCCTGGCTGACCTTTGGGAGAGATGAAGGTGACAGCAAACTGCTCTTCCTGCAGAGTCTCCCTGCCAGACTCTGGTCTCCGTCCTCACCAGAAACACCCCGCAGTGTCTCAGCCAAAAGGCTCATCACACTCCCTCCTGCCTCTGCCTGCCAGCTCCTGCACACAACCCCGCGAGCCTGACCACAAACCTCTTCCAAATCCAGTGTAGCGGGAAAATTGTATTTACTGTTTCAGCCTGCTGCTTTTGTCAGGAGGAAAAAAAAGAGTAAGAGGAGAGACAAGTCATTTGGAAAGGACACGTCCCCTTGGGAAGCTGTTAGGGAGGTGCCGCAGGGGGGTAGAGAAGAGAGAACAGACATCAGAAAACACGGAGATGGAGGAAGCACCACACGAAAAGCGCTGGAGGATGCTAATCCCTTCTTGGGTGCACAGTAACTAGCAAGTTTTAATCACTCACAAGCTGACCACCCAGTCACCTCTCCCGGCTCTCTCCATCCACCAGCAGCATCTGCTGTTTCACTTGGCAAGCCTATTCCTTTGAGCAAAAAAAGTCATCACCTTTTGGAACTGCAAGGGCTCTGCAAAGCCAGGTGAGCAAAGGGTGGGGGGAAATGAGCTGGGAAGAGGAGGAGAAACTTCTGTACAGCCTGAGATACCTCTGACTTGGGAGAACAGGGAGAAGGAAAAGGCTTTTCTCTGCTCATTCCTTCCCCCTCTGCCTTGACAGCCCAGTCCCAGCCCTCTCCCTCCTGCCTGCTCGGTGCAAAGGGAACAGAAGCCCACGTACCAATTCGACCCGCATCCTGCAGCTGGATTTTGAGCATCTCCATGGGAGTGGTGACAATCACCTGGCAGGTACCTGCGCCGCAGCCTGCCAGCATCTCCCTCAGCAGTGTCAGCTTTTTCCTGCCCAAAGAAAAGAGAGAAAGAGTCAGTGGGAGAAGGTGGCCTGAAGTAACGCTCAGGCAGCTGTGTGCGGGGGCTCGGTGCATGCCCCTGGCCCTGGGGGTTCCAGGAGAGGCAGCCTGCGGGATGGGGGAACCCACTGGGCTTGACAGTTCAGCACTGATCAGGCTGGGCACCTCTGCCAGCATCACCTCATCTGGAGAAAAAGACCCATTTTGGAACAAAAGATTCAGAAAAAAGCCCCACAGCGCCACACGGGAGCACACAACCCTCTCCAACCCCAGACAGGAGAGCTCAGCTCTCTTCCAGCCCAGTGTTGTGCCTGGTCAGGTATCGCTTCGGAGAGCAGCAGAGGACCTGAGCATTAAGGGGGACAAGCAGTTCTCCTTCTGCCAGCCTAGCCCTTCAAACACCATCACCACCCCTGCAAACAGACCAACAGAGACCACAGGGCAAGGAGCAAGGGGGGAAAAAATTCCAGTTGCTGCTTTGGAGTTCTCAGCAAAAAAAAGTAAGATGAAGCGAACATGAGAGTCAGGGAGGCAGTTCCCCCATGGTTAGGAGCTTTGTCACCTCCCCAGCTTTTCCAAACCTGAAAAAGTTTATTTTGCACTAAACTGGTCCTGCCTGAGGGACAAGGGATGGGCTGGACCCCCAGCGCTGCAGCTTTGTGCATCCTCTGAGCTGGAGAGCAGGGATTGCCAGCAATGTGTTCCTAACAAAATGCAGCATTTCATACCTCGCTCCATCCCAAAGCCATGAAACAGCCCAACTAAGACTAAAAAGAGGAACTCGGGATGCAAATGCTCTGAAAGCCTCAACTTTCAGAAACGAGTTTTCACCGTGTAAAAAAAAAAAAACCAAAAAAACTCTCCTTGGCACCAGAAAACACTGACTTGATTTATAAAAAAAACGTACTTCTTATCTGCTCTTTTCTAAAAGAGGAAAAAAAAACGCATACAGGAATCACACAGACAGAAGGGAACAGCTCTTTTTTTTTTTTTTTCCTGTTTTAAATGCAAGTACTATTTTTGCCCTGCTCCTGCAGCAATACCTCACCTTAACCTACTCAAGGTGAGCCCGCACACTACAGCGGCAGCACTCCCACAGCGATACACCCTTTTCCCTTGCAAACCCAAGCCCCGCTGCCACACCGGGGGTTTCACTTGCACACACAGCCCAGCCGTGTTGCTGCAGGCCAGCAAAGCAGCTTCAATGTCAACCCTACAGGAAAGTGAGGAGAGATGCGCCACAATCCTGCTGGCCACCACGCCAGCTGGGCCCATGTCTCCACTTCTCCAGGGAGGATATCGGAGCAGGGGAATAGAGGCACAGAGCCACAACAGAGATTACCAGGGACTAAATCTAGACCTCTCCCGCGAGGCTGAAGGGAGCAACATTTCAGAGCCTCCCCTTTCCAGATCCCCTCACAGATGAGAAGCTGCAAAGAACAATCGCTCCCACAGAGTTACCCACACGGTGCTGAAGTGTGCACAGCAAGCTTGCTTGGAGGTATGGAGGTATCGGGCTGTGCAAATCCAGAGGTCCCCCTGGCACTGACATCTGGAGGTGGCCAACTGGTGCCTCTTGGGCAGCCTGCAGCACAGCACCCGTCGCTGCGCAGCGTGATAGAGTCAGCAGCGAGGCTGCACAGCCCCCAGCCCAGCCAACCACCCCAAGGAGCCGGCTGCCAGTCCCCTCTGTGGCACAGCAGAGCATCTCCCACTTTAGCAAGAGCCCTGCAGCATCCCTAGAGTCCACGTCTCCTGGCTTTCATCCAGGGTGACCGCTTTGATACCCAGTTCAAAGCACCAGGAAGATGTGCCCGACATGTTTATCTGTGGACCATTATCCCAGCCAACAAAAGTCAGTCTGGTTGACTGAACTCCGTGGAGCTATGCCAGTGGGACCCAGGAAAGGATTTATGTGCGTGGGTGTATTTTAGAGATGTCAAACAGGTACATCAAAAGCATCTAGAATAAGGGCTTTCAGCTTTTGGTTTGCATATCCTGGGAACTGGGGGGAGTCCAAGGAAAAAAAAAAAATAGCCTACGATAAGCAAATCTTTTGTCAGGAGGTTTAAAATTCACCATACAGGGGTCAAATTCCCTTTGCAAAACCTCACCAGTCTGCACATAAAAGGAGCTGGAAAACAGCTCATCTCTCAATGACACAGGAGTTTAAATATTTAAGGCACCACAGGCCTTATCCTGAGCGGTT